CTGTTAGCGGTGTGGTCTTGTTAGCAGGTCCGGTTAGCAGCTTGATGATAATAAGGACTACAGCAGCTGCTCTCACAGACCACAGTCCAGAACTGGGTCCAGCAGACAGATAACATCCCAGGTTTCCCTGTGGAACCAAATGGGTCCGTACTGCATGTGCATATAGATGTTTGGAGGATCTTGTTAGCAGGTCCAGTCAGCAGCTTGATGGTAATAACGACCGCAGCAGCTGCCCCCACAGACTGTAGTCCAGAACTGGGTCCAGCAGACAGAGAACATCCAAAGTTTTTCTCGGTGTGGATTATCAGCTCCACCATTTTAAACTCTTCACCAAATCAGGCTAATTCAAGCTCCCAGGAGCTCCAAGGTACAACAACAATTCTATAAAGAAGAACAACATTTGTTGTTTGTTGATGACCTGGCAGCTTGTTTTGAAAGTAAATAATAAAAAATGAACAGCTGTGATTTCTTTGTATTTCTGTCAGTATCAAACGGGTGAGAAACTTTTTTTTTTTTTTTTTTTTTTTTTTACCTACCGGTACTTAAGAAAAAGATCTGAAAAAAAATATATATAGTTATTTAAAAATGATATTTTTCTCCCTTGAAACATTAAAACAAACTAAAAAGTACTTGTCAAATACATACTTTAGAACTCAAAAGATTATTTTCTGACACACGAGAAGAAACTTCAAAGCGTGTTGACTTATCTGTGATAAAATTATATTTTAAAAAACATGCAAATAAGCTTTGGCTTCAGGTTAGAGTTGGGTAATTACTATCTGAATATATTTGAGATACTTTTAACTACATTTCCATCAAGGTTGTTTGTTTTGCTCCATTTAATCATTTTTTGTTTGTTTCTATTATCTGTTCCGAGGGTTTTATCTGGGTTTTATTGTGTTTAATTAGGAATAAGTACATAAACCTTTGTCAAAGTGTCATGTGGAGAGTTATTTATTAACTTATAAACTATTGTACGCACTTTTTAAATAACTTTTGGCTATTCATTACCAAGAACACAAGTTTATTGTAACTGTTCTGCTTCTTCCCTGAATACACGCCTGCTTTTAAAACGCAATGAGTCCAAAATTAGAGTTTAACGTACAGTGAGCTTTTAACAACTTCTGAAGCAGTCACACTATTGTGAGCCTATTTTCATCTGCACGTTTTTTAGCATCTTTCTCCTTCCACAGTTTTTGTGCTATTTCAACAAATCATACATCAAAACATTCGGTTCGTTCAGGAGACTTTTGGCAACTTTAGCTTTTAGCCTTTTCTGACACTTTTTTTTCCTCATAGGAAAATAATTGAGCTCATTTTACATTCAGAGATTCAGAGAGATTTATTTGTCATACACACCACATGTGGTACATGAGGTGGGACCAAACTATGTACACAGGGTCCCAGTTACATCCCAACAAAACACAAACTGTACAGAAAAGCATTAGTAAGATCCGAGTCATGAAATAAGAATACACTTAGCACTAACAGTACAAAAACAACGCACCAAAACAACAGCAGCACGAACATGAGTCTGTGTGAGCAGATGAGGACTAATGAACACATCAACATGAAATGATCAGCAGCATGGGATCAGCATCATGGATAGCAGCACATGTCAACAACCAAGTGACATTACAGCGATTTTCACAGTTCAAATCAGATCTTTAGATGTGTTCACAACCTTTTACTGCTCCTTTAACATTTTGTTCTGCTTCAGCTTCTTTCAGCTTCCTTGTGCAAATTAAAACTTTTTTCTGCTACTTTCAGCTGTTTTGTGCTTCTTTCAGGATTGTTCTGCTACCTACAGCATTTGTATGCTTCTTATAACTTGTTTCTGCTAATTTCAGCTTATTAGGCTCCTTTTAGCTTATTTCTGCTAGTTTCAGCTTATTAGGCTCCTTTTAGCTTATTTCTGCTAGTTTC